GTGCGTGCGTGTGCGTGCGTGCGTGCGTGCGTGCGTGCGTGCGTGCGTGTGTGTGTCTACCTGTCGATGAGAGGGTTTAAGTACGAGTTTTCGTGTGAGCGTCTGTGCGCTGTTGCTGATCTGGTTTGAAGGAAGTTTGTCTTAAAGCACTCGGTAATGATATAAAATCTCCTCCTATCTTAAGTTGACCAATGCTCATGAATCAGTATAAGTGGAGGCATTAGCGGTTAAACTTTTTTGGGCGACAGGGAACAACAAGTAGCCGATATTAAATGCTCACTGCACAGAGGAAACCCGTTTTTCCATGTGGAGGATTGAGTGAGTGGCAGAAAAAAATTGGAGGCACAGTACAGTGTTAGAGTGGGTAGTATAAATGGGGAAAAAAGGAAATTCAACATCTAACAGAGGTCACATGGGTGTCTATTTTTTAATTCTGTTTAAACATGAACAGGAAATCCCAGCCATGAGTTGCTGTTTGTGTAGTCAAATTGTGGTAACATTTAGCACTGTGGTGTACCAAAGGTGTTTCTTTTTTTTTTTCTTCGTCTTTAATTCCAGAAATGTCAAAACCGTTGTGACACACCCCTAGCAATTGGTGTTTGAATTCCATGTTGAAAGAGCAAGATCGACGAAGATTTTTGTTGCGGAACAAATGATAGAGACTAGAAAAAAGATATCGTGCTATCCCCTCAAACTGAGGAAGGGTGGGGTTTCCCTCTTTTCCACACCCTTTTAGTTTTCTCGGACTGGAAATTGCTCGTTTGCCATGTGAGACGCCATTTTCATCAATGCTTTCACAACGTTGCTGCAAATGCAAATGGCCATGCCCTCAAGACAGGCACTCTGCTCACAGAGCCGCAAGCTACCAGAGCTGTTTGTTGTCACTCGTACGCGGCAGGACTAACTACATGTTGAGATGGTTCCTATGACAGCTGTTTTGGGAATGATTCTAAAGGAGATTGTCTGTGCTGGTTGAATGTATTCCAACTTAAACTGCAAAGAACTGTTCCAGTTAGTCAAATGGTATGTAACTTGATTTTCTTACACTGTCCTCATAGGGTTGTGAATAATTGGGCTCACAGTTAGAAATGGGATTATTACCGGTCCCATTTTCGTCACAGCTGTTGCTTCAAACAGTGCTCTACTTTAAATTTAAAATGAAAAGATGCATAAATTAAACATACACTTGCACAGTTTAATAATCTATATATAATTACTCAGATAGTAATGTTTAGTTGGGATTTCATAATTAAAAAAATTACATTACAACAAAATTATTAAAGTACTTTCAGTTTAGTTTGAAGAATTGAACTTACAGAGAGGTTCTAATATTTTGCTCCTCATAACTAAAGAGAAAAACTTCTCAGTATGATTAAAAAGAAAAAAAAAAACAACATACATCATCTATCCCTTGCATTAGATTTGGAGCTCATTTAATTGGGATTGTGTCCTTCATGAGTTGGTGAGGCGATAACACTTGAGCTTTGTATTCAGTTTTATAATATATTTATATCTACTAAGTTAATTATTCATCTCAACTTGGCTGTTGTCTTTAGGTGTCGAGATGTTTATTTTGGAGAAAATGTATCCAAAATAACAATGTAAATGAATTCAAGTCGTCATACTTGAACTACATTGTTTACTGATTTTATATTACTTACACGTAAAATTTAAATAATGCAGTTGTCTGAAATTTTTAGCTGTTGTTCAAATTGGCAGAATATTTTGTTTCAAAAACAGAAAACTCTGAATTATTTACTTGTTGAATTTTTGCTTTTAGATAATCTAAAGACAACATGGGTGTGTTGCCATCACTTGGACATTTATCTTGTGTCTGCATCTTGTCTCTCCTTTGTCAGAATTCAGAGGAAAAAAGGGGCGTGTTGGATCGTCTCAGTCACTTCTTCAAACCCAAGAAAAGGAAGAGCCGAGGCCATGAGACTTTAAACACTTTGGTCGATGCAAGTTGTCCAGGTTCGCCCACCTCCGCCTTGTCTTCAAATTCATCCCCGCTGAAACAGGAAGATGGCTCAAAGACACCCACTCCCTCGCGAAAAAATGACAAGCCGCCCAAGACCGAACCCCGAGCAGGAGTGGAGATTGGAGACACCCTCAGCCAAGGCTCCAGCCCCAGTGCCTCAAGTGTGGTCTCTCTATTGACTGATGGGGCAGATATTCCATTTGCAGACTCCAACAGCAGTGGCTCTAACAGTGTGCGGGAGGTTCCTGTGTGCGGTAGTCAAAGGAATTCAGGGAATGTGACCCCCACTGCTCTGGACTTTGCAACCACCACTTTGCCATTTTGTTCTGATCCAAATTCAGAAGTAGGATTTGCAGAGTCAGTGGTGGATGAGGTCAGCAAAAGGCTACAGATGAATTTGGACGATGTCACAACGAAGAAGGCAGAAAGATGGACTGTGGGTGCTCTTAAAAAGCCATCCAACTTGCCAACAGTTCAGATTCCCTTTCCCAACAATGCTGCAGGCCCTAAGTCACCTAACTTAACTTCCATAAGTGTAGCGACAACAAAAACATCAGTCAAAGTTGGAGAATACATCCACAGCACATCCCTAAAGGGAATAACGTTGAGCTCTCAGTCAACCGCGACAAACCTCATCTCGACTCGTGAGCGTACTCCGGATGTTGACAGGGAAAATTCAGCACAAAGCCATTCACCGGAAAGAAACCAATTACCACCTAGTGAATCTCCTACTCACCTCTTCAAAGCCATATTAGTAGATACTCACCTCGTAGAGGAGGAGAGAAATGGGAGGGAGGACATGAGGGACGTTGGGATGGAGGAGGAGAAGGAGGAGGAGTGTTTCATACCACTTTCGCCTGCCGTGCTGGCCATACCTGTCACAGTATTTCCTGAGGATGAGTCCATTACTCAAGGGAATACAGACACCACGAGCAGCTTGCCAGAGTTGTCGTCCTCAACGCCAACTACCGGGGATTCGCAAATTACTTTACGACAGTCGGAGGAGCCTAACACTGGCACAGACTCAAAGAAACACCCACTTAAGGAGAAACAAGGGTCAAAAGAGACTTGTGTTACACGCAAGACTGTGAATCTGCCTTCAAAGCCCAAGGTTGTGGCTAAAGAAGTGCATGGTAGCCCAGCGCTAAGTCTGGAAGGGAACAAGCAAGATTCCAGTTCAAAGACTTCTGGGCAGTCAAAGACGACCCTGTGAGTATCTGCATTTTTTTTTAATGGTCTCTTTTTGAAAAGTCCCTTTGAATGGAGAAAAAGAAAGCAGGTGAGTTCAGCCTCCCTTCATGCAACCTGATCTAAGGATTCCCATGTGCTATTGTACCAGCGAACACGCAATGACTGAAGCGCTGAAATATTTATATTGTGAGCGTCTAATTATACTGAGTGGTGCCAGTTTTAAAACATTTATAGCTTCAAATATTTCTGATGCAATTACATTACCATGACTTTTGTACTCTGCAACTTGAGTGTAAATCATCACCATTCCGATGCGTGTCTTGGGTCATCTTCTCCCACTGAGTAAGTTAGTCATTACAAAACTTGACAGCCCGTGACTACAGCTCACTTAATTTGTTACATTACAATTGTAAAGAATATGCACAGACACTGATACAGGTAAATAGCTTTGCCTGAAGAATGTCTGATTAATATACCGTGCAAGCCACTGCAGGGCGATTCTTTTGCCAGGTTTGTGGTTGATCAAATTTATATTCTTTTTGATGCGTGAAAAAAATGAATTACTCAATCAAAATACCTCTACTATTGTTTTTCCTTATACGAAAATGTACTACGGATCAAGTTCTAAACAGCTTTTAAAAAGGTGTATAAATATTACTCGGATATTTACAAAATTACTTATTTCAGATTATTTTATTCACCAAATGAGTGAGGCTTTCTAAGTTCATAATCAATCATTTGCAACAGCATCATACACAAGCAAGCCTATTGCGAGTAGCAGAGATGAAATGGTATGAAAATTTCATAGTAGTCACCTCAGTCTTCTTGGTTACCAGTGACATCACAATTCTGCACTGCTAATCGAAATGTAAACAAAAAATGCAGATATGTGCACTGAAAGCACTGCAACAATAACAAAATGCACATCAGAAATTCAGAAAATACTTTTCCTTTGTTTTCTTTGTTTCATCGCACTTGCGTGCTTATACAGCACAGGTGTCAAAGTCAAGGCCTGGGGGGCCAGATCTGGCGCGCCACATCATTTAATGTGGCCCGCGAAAGCAAATCAAGCATGTCAAGTTCCATGACGCCTGCTAAAGTCTGAACCAAAATTTCAAATTGTCAGATGTAAGCCACAACAGTCATTATTCTTGACTTCTGACTTTAAAATTAGTTATTCATCAATTTGTTGTGTGCTGTGCAGGTAATATGTGGAGGTGATTAAACATCTAGATGGTTTCCCAAAATTCATAACGGCCCTCCAAGGCAAAGCGTAACTACAATGTGGCCTGCGACAAAAATGAGTTTGACACCTCTGTTATACAGTATCTCGTTCCTTTCGGGTTATCGTGCAGACAGATGTGAGGCCATCAGCATTTGGCTGATTAAGCTTTGTAATTTTTGTAAGCATATCATTCCCTTGCTCATTGGGGCAGATTATTTTCATCATATGATAAATAGAATATAACACCTATAGGTCGACTATTTCTTTATTTATTTATTGTCTTTGTGGTAATGCAGGTGTCTATTGTGAGCCCTGGGCTCCCATGGGCTCCCGTGTAACTTGTAACCTGTATTTCCCTCCTGATGCATCTACTCACGTATTCTTCTCATTATTTGCAGATTGCTACGGCTTCAAAACCACAATGCTGATGCAAACAGACATGCAGACACAACGCCATTCACAGCATACGATGAAACTGAAGACAGAAACACATCTGATGTTTTAGTTCAACAAAACACTGTCTCTCAGACATCTGAAAGTGACGGTAGCCTCGCAACCCCTGATATGCACAGAGCAAAACTACAACCCGGGGTATCTGGAATAAGAGGCAATGGGAATAACCAGGCAACAGCCACTAAAGCAGGAGTTAAAGTAGCAGCTGAAACCCGGCGTACCACTGAAAGCATAGCAAGACCCTCGGCAACAACAGCAGGAGACAAGGCCAAAAATGTGGCAACAAAAGCTAAGGGCTCCACAGAGGACATTAAAGTTACGAGACCCAGTGATCTACTGCCACTAAAGCAACAAAGCAGTGAGAAAACGGTCCCTGTGATAACACCGTTAAAAGACAAATCCACCAGTGGTCTCACAAAGTCTAGAATCCCCAAAAGGCAAATATCAGATGGTGATATAAAATTACCATCTTCAATAGATAAAACAACAGAAGCTGATGGCCCTTCAGCCATTCCCAAACTACAGAAAAACCTGCGACTAACAAATGAATCCATTAAATCATTAGTGTCGACAACCAAAAGTCTCAGAAAACAAAGCTCTGAGGAGGAAAAGGAAATAAATACTCGCTCAGGTGGCAGTTCTCCTACTAAAGCATTATGCCGGCCATTGACAGATCCTGTAAAAGAAAATCCAACGGATATGGACTTAATAAATGGAGTGGAAGAGGATCTTAAAATAGGACAGTCCAATAAGGATAAACATGCTTCCATGATGCCAAAGAGCCGGCTGCCCGTTTCATCTCCAACTAAAAAGTTCAATACTGACCTACCTAAAACAAATGAAAGCAATTCCAGAAAAGTTACCTCTCCTCGATTAGACACAGACAGACACAAACAAGCCCAGAAGTGCCCAGACCAGCCAGCAGCAGCACGTGAGGAAAGAGCTGCTAGCAATATCTCTCCTCCCCCTGGAAGTCCCAAGAAAGGTAAAAGAACCCTTGTGATAGAGTCCACAAGTTTCTTGTTTCCTGGAAATTGGCTTTGTATAAAAAGTGGATTTTAACTGCATTTATGCTGGTTAATTTTTCAACTGGATTGATGGTGGTTAATTGATAGACTACATGTTTTTGATACTTGTGTATTTGCTGTAGAATAAGCTTAGAGGAAAAAAAATCTACTTGCTAGGTCCTCTCCAGAGAATCACTTTTGCTTTTCTGCTTCACCAGTTAGCAGCTATACTGGGGCTGCGGTAGCTCTCCTGTAAATATTTGGGATTTGGAACCATTGGATTCAAGTCCTGATGTGGAGAAATGCTAGCTCATCAGGTGTACAACTGTTTGTGTGCCCCTTCTCTCTGACATCACTTCTTGCATGCCAACATGTGTGTAATCAGGTTCTATTTGTGATGTACAACACAAAATACACGTACAATATGTGTTGTTAAAAGGCGACTACTTGTGACGAGCAGTCAAAACTGCAAATTACTTTTTCTTCCCAACTCAAGAAAAGTATGCACGACAAATTACATCCTTCTTTGAAATTTGGGTAGGGGTTGGAGCGTGTGATGGTCTGTGATTTGATGGTGTCTCTGTGTTTTTGTGTGTTTCTGCCCAACAGGAGGCATCTTATCACTAAAACAATTGAGTCACATCTTTAAAACAAGACAACGCCATGAGGACGCTGACACTGTAATTGTCACCAACCAAGATAAAAAAGACTCAAAGTTTATCAAACAAAATCCAAAGTCTCCATTAAATAGTCCTGGTCCCCCATCTCCAAGCAAGCTCCTGACAAGAAGCCAGAGGAGCCCCGCCAATAATAAATCAAGGAAAAGTCAACATATTTCAAGCGGTGATTCATCAAATATGTTTATACCTAAAGAGGACAGTGTACATCCAAACAGCAGTACAGAGACAGCTGACAAATCTGCAGACAGTGTGGAGGCAGATCATTCGAAAGACAGTACCCCTGTGGATGCAATTCATCTTAAATCTGTGTCTCACAAGAAAGAGCACAGCGTGACATTCACAGATCATTCTTGTGCCCGTGAAACCAAAGAGAAAACAAGACAGTCACAGGGGCTTGAAGAGGCCCTCAATAACAGTCCTAAAGGAAGCATTTCAAAGACTCAGATAATCAAACAAAGGGAAACAGTGGTTACAGTAAAACTTGAAGACAAAGTTAAATCAATAAAAGATGCAATAGCTGAGGTAGCACCGGCCAAGGCCGTCCTCAGTTCTGAGATCAATAGTCCAGGAGAAGAGCATGAAGCACTACAACAATTGAAACCAGAACATTCCACAAAAAATGCATCTCATCCCCAATGTGACAGTACTGCACTGGAATTGCAAACCGAAAATGTCACGGACAAGGTATTTTCAGAGACAGCCCATCTCACAAATGACACAAAACTGGAAAAGGAAGAAGATTCAGTCGTGATAGCTCAGGGTGTTAATGCATCTCCAGATAATGTAATGGATAGTTCTGTGAACCCTTCCTGGGATGACATCCATCAATGTGACAACATTATACCCTCTCACCAGGAAGGCACTCCCATTGAACCAGCTAAAGAAAATGCAAATGTAGCGCCAACTGAATTTGTTTCAAAAGACCATGATTCTGAGCTGGAAAATGTTGTTTCAGCGACACCTTCAATTTCTTTAAACACCACTGATAAGATCAAGGATTTTAAAGTCATTGTGGATCAAATTACAAATACAATGAATGAAAATATGTTGCCATCGGCGTTGGCCACAGATTCAATACAAAATGCGACAGGAGAGGAGAAAAGCAAAGAAAAGGTCGGCACGAAAACAGCAGACACAGAGAATGAAGCTGTTTATGAGGCCTCCAAGAATGTTGAAAGTCAGCTGGACAAAGAGCCCCTTTCACAAATACAAGAGTCTAAAAAGGAGGAAAAAGAATCAAAGTCAAGTGAAAAGCTGAATGACACAGCAGTGATGGGCAGCAACTGCATCGGGGAGCTCAAGGCATTCAGCACAGAGAGCAAAGCAGACAAAGACGTCACCACGCCAAATGAATCAACCCAACTAACATCAGAAAATGAATCTTTACCGCAGAGCGCAGAGGAGGAAATACAAACAGTAAACACCGCCGAAAAGTACAAGAGTCAAGCACAGAGGACAGAACAAATAACTACAGTGTGTGAAAGTACAACCAAGATGTTGGATTCCCAAGAAGCTATTAAGGATTCTTCGAAGGAAGCTACTAGTGCAGCTAAGGAATCCCAGCAGCCAATGGGGAAAGAACTGTCATGTAATGTACCGCTAACTCAGGATGGGATAGGCTGGAGTCAAAATGAAATTCAGGACAAGCACAGTTATGTTAAAAGGGGGAATCAACAGGAAATAAAGACAGTTGAGTTTAATAAAGATGGTGAAACAAATGCCTCATCAATTAAAAGTTTAGGGAATGAGAGTTCCAACTCTGAAGTGATTAGCCAAGAAGAAACGGAGCTTGTTGGAGTAAAACTTAAGAGTTTTGGCAACCATGATGAAATTGCTGATACGGCAAAAGCATTAAATGCTGAAAAAGCACTGGAAACCCAACTTAGTGACACATCGTCTACTCAAAGTTCTCAACAACATTCAAATGATTCTCCATTAAAACGTTTGGAAGATGAAGCGCCGACTGCCACCAATAATGATGAAGTTGGGGATGTAATTGACAGTGCTGAAACCAGTCATGTTCATTTCCAAAAACAAGAGTGCTCTGTAAACATCACATCTGATCATGAGAAGATCAGCACACCGGATGAAAACTCTCATCAGTACACAGATTGCAAATTGTCAAAAGTTAACCAAGAAAGTAAAGCAAAAATGTTACTAGCAGAACCTATCGAGAAAATGGCCAGTGATTCTGAAATTCCTACCAACTTGTTCACAAGTACAACAGACGCCGGTAAGATTGATATGAAAGAAAATGCTAATTTAAAAGAAGTCACGAAGAGAGTGTCTAAACAAAAAGATGAGCAAATGACTGTGAAGCAAAAGTTAAAGCCCGGTCAGATTGAGGACAGAGAACAAGAAGACACGGCCAGTGATGGTTTCCAAAGCCCATCTGATCAGAAGGCCAAAGAGACCAAAGAAAAGAAAAAGACAACACATGAACTATATGCCAATAAAGAAGCTAAAAAGCTGAATGCTTCCCAGCAGCCAATAAAACCACCACTTAATGGCGTCTCCCCTCTTGCCACTGCAGTGAAATCGTTGAGTCCACCTGTGGGACTTCAGCTAAAGGAGGAGTCGCCATCTAGCTGGTTAGACGTGGAACATCATCACAAACAGAAAAAGGACAACAGAAGGAAACCAGACGCCTCGGCCAGCGAAGACGAATCTCTTGAACCAGACGAGTTTGAGGATTTCATCAGCAGCATTAAGGCAGGTGGCATTCCCTTCTCACTGCCTCTTAAGAAGCACCCACATAAAAAGGCCCCATCTCCCCCTTTTGCAATGCCAGCCATTAGGGAGGATCATTTTGAGAAAACTTTTGATCCCGAAGAATTTCAGTTTGGCTTGAGAAAGAACGGAAAAGGTTTCAAGGACCCATCTCCAGCAATGGTGTTAAAACAAAATGCAGCTAACCGGCACGGGCGAACCATGGAAAAACACGAGCCAGTCAATTCCACATCCACAGTCCAAAGGGAATTCCTTGAGGAGGAAAAAGGAAGAACTGAAGTCAAAGAGGGCCCAGCGATTGAGCAGAACAATGGAGAGGAGCCTGGAAAGCTATCATCCCGATTCGAAAGGATATCCCTCCTGTCTAGTTTACTGAGTTCCCCTCGGTCCAGTAAGAGGCACAAAGAGGAAGCAGCCACTGACCAAAATAACACTTCATCCAAACAACAGAAAAAAGTACCCTCGCTTGGAAAGCAGGAAGCAGTTGATGCAACCTTTCCTGAATACGAATCGGCTACGAAGGGTGTGACAAAGAGCGGTACAGACTGCACAGTGGGTGGTAGTAAAGATGCCGCCAATGAATCGACCATTAGTCCCTCCCCTCTTTCTCTGCCCTTGGTTTCTCAAATCAAACCGCCTACACATAATCTTGAGGACAGAAAAGAATCTGCTGAGATTGACCAGGACTTTACAAAAGCACTTAAAACCAAGCAGAATCCGGACGGACATTCTACTATGGACGAGGCTTTAAAGCCTGAAGTCAATCATGCTGAACTACCTCCGGCCACCAAATACATCCCAAAGAATCTTCCAAAGAAAAACTCGAAGGTAGGCTTTTGATAATTTGAATTTCTTCAGTCTGATGCAAGTAGGAAGGAAAGATGCATCCAAGACTTTTATATTATAGTGCAGTAAATGTAATGCCTGTTTAGTAGTTTTACTCCCTGTGGTGTTTCAGTGTCACCGGATGCCTTTTTGTTGTTATATCTAAGTTAAACCATGAAGAGAAGGGTAACAAATAACAAATGTGTTTCACATTTACATTGTTTGATTTTACCAGCGCATACAATAAGCCATTTTAACGTTTCCTTACAGACAACTGTGGTCAAGGGGTTCCACAAAAGACCTGGAAAGGTACAAGTGAATGTTACCTCAATACATTGTTTGCACATTTATCTTTACACATAATTAAAGCAGTGCTGCCACCTCAGATCGTAACATCACATCTATGTCCCGGTCCAGCTTTTCATACACGAACATGACAACGTCGGTGGTGAAGTCTACGAACTATGTAGTGACGTTGAGGATGCCACGCAGATGAAACTCTCTCCTGTCATCTTGGTACGAGTCATCAGAGGATGGTAAGCGGGCTTTACTGGTCTAAAGTTCATATGGATTTATTAAGAGATTTATGTTAATTATTGTGTGAGTTACTTTTACTTTGCCGTGTTAATTATTGTGTGACTTACTGATAGTTTGTCTACTACTTTGGGCTCGTACTGGGGTAATGCACCAATTACAATTGCAGGGAAGTTGTGTAAAATGTAAATAAAAACAATACATTTCTTTGTAAATTATTTCCAACATATATTTGATTGAATATACAACAAAGACAAGATGTTTAGTCATGTTCAAACACAAACTTTTAGGGGAAAAATATTCACTCTTTTTTTTTATTTATTTGATGCCTTCAACACATTCCCAAAGAACTGGGCCCTCTTCATCACTGTGTTACATCACCTTTTAAGAACACTCAATAAGTGTTCGGGAATTGAGGACACTAATTTTAGAAGGAATTATTTACCATGCTTGGTTGATGTGCTACTTCACTTGCTCAACAGTCCAGTCTTTGTTGTTGTATTTTGCACTAGACAAAATTTTCAATGGGAAGTTTGGACTGCTGGCAGGCCTGTCTAGTACTTTCTTACCATGCAGCCACCCCATTTTTGTTGTTATTGTTATTACACATGCAGAATTGCTGAAGTGAGCAGGGACGTCCCTGAAAAATACTTTGCTTGGATGGCACTATACGTTGCTCCAAAACATGAATATACCTTTCAGCATTAATGGTGTTTTCACAGATGTTCAAGTTACTCATGCCATGGGCATGAATACACCCCAATACCGCCACAGCTGCTGGCTTGATATGAGTTCCAAAAAACAATTTCAAGTGTGGACTCGTCAGACCACAGCACACTTTTCCACTCTGAGTTAGTCCATCTCAGATGAGCTTGGACTCGCAGAAGTCGGCTGCATTTCTGGGTGTTGATGCTATATAAGTTTTGCTTTGCATAGTAGAGTTTTTTTTTTTTTAGATTTGTTTATTTAAAATATTCTTGTGAAAGTGAAACTGATAGGATGCTTAAGGTGCACACAAAATTATACATTATAATAAATTAAGATGCCCACAGACACACAGTTTTTCTTTTCTGCCCATTTCCCCCGATATTCTTCGCGGTAAAAAAAAAATGTTCATCAGTAAGAACATTAAATATGTTATTTTTAGTGCATTAAATTGCACGTCGGTTAACAAGGATTAGCAAGTTATTGTATTCCATTTTTATTTACTTTTTACACAATATCCCAACTTCATTGGTTTGTACGTACAGTACTTTGGTATCTGCCTAATTTTATACTTTGTTTTTTTTATATTTAGCTGGCTCCTGTATGAACATAAGGGCTTCCAGGGTCGTGTCATTGCCCTTGAGGAAGGTCAGACAGATCATGTAATGAACGTGTGGGCTGATGATGGAGCCCCAACAACTCTGGATGAGAAGGGTCAGGCTGTGTCAACGACACCCTTGACCATCGGTTCTATTCGACTGGCAGTCAACGTAAGTTGCCATCTTGGATCTGTATCTCTAAATGTCTAACTTCATCGTTCAATTGAATTACTGCTTATTTCAGATCCCTGGACACAACATTACTTACAGCTTCACAATCTGATGAAAGCCAGTGCAAGAACTACACCAACAATTCAGCATTTTAACTGATTATCTCGCATATTAATCATTTGCAGTCACATTATGCCCTTCTCATGCAGTTAATAAAGTCACAAAAATACTACAAGCACCAGTCAGCATGATGCAGCGTTTTTTACACACCACTGCAAAATATCTTTTCATTACTATTATGGCACAAAACAGATTTCTGAACGATTTTTGGATTGCATCCAGCACCCCCTGGGACCCTTGTGAGGTTAAAGCGGTTCAGAAAATGGATGGATGGATTGATCCTTCTAACATTGGAAATACCGTTTTAAAAAAACTGGAAAAAAATACTTTACATGAAACATTTAATGATGCCTGGGCAGATTAACTTGCATTTACCTCTGAGAGGTGCTTACCAGTATGCTTAATTTGTGGTGAAAAACCAGCCAACAATAAAGGTCAAATGTAGAAAGATATTTCCAAAATTAACACACAGGCTTTGCTGAAAAACATCCGGAGTGAGAAGAGAGGGGGGAAAAAAGCTGTTTCAGAACTGATGTGGAAGGTTGATCTGAGGAAAAATCAATTCAAGAGGTGGATGAAGTCTGAAAATTCAACCACCCATACGTTTTGGGGCCGCTCGGAAAATAGTCAGATATCGGAAGCCGTTCACGCACGGGGAATGTATGAAAGACCCATTAATTGAGAGAGAGAGAGAGAGAGAGAGAGAGAGAGAGAGAGAGAGAGAGAGTGCGAGAGAGAGAGCGAGAGAGAGCGCGAGAGAGAGTGCGAGAGAGAGAGCGAGAGCTAACATTGTCATTTCACATGTCAAAAAATGTTTGCGGTTCCCGGTGTTGTCTAGACCGGGTCGAAATGGCTCTTTGAGCGTAAAAGGTTGCCGACCCCTGATCTAAGCTAGTTGAATATGGCAAGTTGAAAACACAATTAACGAGGTTATGAACTCCCTAAATGACTGTTTATACCTTTCAATGAAACCCCCCCCCAAAAAACTAAGTCATATATGTCAAAAATGAGAGTGGATGGCAGCTGTAGTTGTTGTTGTTATAAATGCTCCACAAAAAATACGTATTATTCTCTCTGTTGCAGGACTATTCCCAACCCAGAATTGACCTGTTTACAGAAGTTAATGGTCTGGGAAGGGTGTCCTCTTACTGTGACGACACAATTGAAATTTGCTCCTTTGGGATCCCCCAGACCACTGGTTCCATCAAGGTCCATTCTGGAGTGTAAGTTGATGTTACTCATGTGACATAACAGCGACTGTTGCCTAATTGCAGATCTAATGTTGGTTGATTTGCATTAGTTACAACTGATTTCCAATTGAGAAAAATACACAACTGCTCTGCAAAATACCTTCTTTTCACTTTTAAATATTTTCCCCATTTACTTTTTGTATCTTGAAAGTACTGCCTAGTGATCTAAGTGTAACTTCTGTTATTAAGTCCAACTAGCAGGTTGAACATTGGATCCTTACGATAAGAAGAAGATAATTATAATTAATAGGTGTGTGTTACTACTTCACAAAATTATTATCTTTATAAAACAACGGTCCACTTTCTCTCCATGTGTCCATCTGTTTAGCTGGCTTGTGTACAGTGATCCTGGCTTTGGAGGTTTCGTAGGAGTGCTGGAAGTTGGCGAGTTTCCTTGTTCAGAGACCTGGGGATTCCCGCAGCCCTTTGTTGGCTCTCTCAGGCCCCTTCGAATTGTAAATATCTACTGTGCAGGGTGTCACTTGGATGCCATTTTGTGTATTGACTAATTCTGATGCTCTCTGTCTGTCTTTACAGGGAGCAATAAAGGTGGATCATCCTAAAGACGTCAAGGTTTGTTTCAAGTATATCCACCTCTCTTACATTAAATTTATTGTGTTTCCTATGGACTATATTGATTGCATCACGCACAGTCTTGGAATCTGGAACAGTTGTAAATGTAAGTGAACATGTCGTAAAAGAAAGACCCCCACCCTAAGTTAAACACTCCTGAAATTCAAATAATCAATTGAAACTGGTAAGTTAGAATCTTGCACAATTATCACTTTTAACTGTAAAGATGACATCAATACGCTAAAGGATGTGACGGTTATTAGTCATGAGAGAAGTCTTGAATCATAAAATCTGACGGCAGCCGTAATGAAGCTTAGGTGCTACTGATCCTTCTGTGCGCCATGATTGCTGCGCTCGAAAAAAAAAGTTTAAAGATTTGACCGAAAGCAATGAAGTGCAAAATTCTCAACATATTTTGTGTGCCATTCCCTTTTGGGTTGATCTTGGCTGCTTGTCCATGCAAGTATATGGGATGCTAAAGAATGCACGACAATTGAAAATTGAAATATTTTATGAATGATTGTAACTTTATAATGGAATGACTTTCGCCACAATATAAATGTTCCTGATGTTTAGTCTTTACTAAATTGCGAAGTGAATGATGTAAATTGTATTTTCAATTGCCACAGTATTTGTTCGTTCAGAACACAGGCATGATACTTGGCATTAGGTTGAAAACGACCTGTAGCATTATGTGTTGTGCTGTGGTGGAAAATTACTCAATTAATCTCCAGGAAACAAAACCACAGCGCATGAACTTGTGTCAACTAAAAGGCCTGTCCAGCAAACCCATCTGTTCATTGATTTTGGCTCGTTTAGGCACTGGCGTTCGAGAAGGCCAATTTTGAGGGAGAGTGTCTAGAGGTGGATGGTGACTTGTACAACTTGGGAGAGGGAGAAGCAGAACAAGTCAACTCTGGTGGAACTACAAATACGATGTCTTCCGTGGGGTCCCTCAAGATACTCGGTGGTCTGTGAGTAATTAAGTTCATAGATGCAAGTGGGTAGGATATGTTGATATCCCTGATGAATATGAGTTACAGTAGAAATGTGTAAAATGCCCTCTCTGCGTTTTTGTATGGTAGCTGGGTTGGTTATCAAGAGGAAGACTTTGAGGGTCAGCAATACATCCTTGAAGAAGGAGAGTATTCGCATTGCAGTGATTGGGGGGGTTCTGAGGATGGTCTACTCTCTCTTCGTTCCATTAGGACGGTAAGCTTTATTTTCTTGTCGTACACCTTTATCTAATGTTATACAAAGTATTTTACAAGTCAGTGATCATTTCTTTTCATGCTGTCTCGCTTAGGATTTCCTGTCCCCGCACATTAAATTGTTCAGTGAGCCCAACTTGGACGAACGGGGGCTCAGTGTGGGTCTAATGGGCCCCGTTGTCAGCATGGAGGGCATCGGCCATAGCTTGAAAACCCAGTCCATCAACGTCCTGAGTGGGGTGTAAGTCAAATCCTCCCTCTTTTTTTAGGAAAGCATGTTTTGCTTTTTCTTTTTATTTTACACTTCGAGGTGTGCATTGTAAACAAATGCTTCAAATTCCCCCTTAGTCCCTTTGTACTGACTTGGCACCATCCAGAGTGAAATGGGCTGGAAAGAAGTAGAGACTTGAGAGTCGACTTTCAGCAGACTTTAGAGACAGTAAAAACAAGGGGTAACATGAAATGTCCTGATTGTGTTCTCTCATGCAGACACTTGCAGTTTTAGGTGTGTGCTCGTCTACTTACAAACATGACTAAGAGTTCTGTCACTGTTCAAACGCTTGACACACCTTAATGGTGCATGCAAACAGCCCCCGAGGATACATTTCAGAGTAAGCTGGCGCAACTGATCTGCCCACGTCATTGTCTTCTGTGAATTTGAATGGTTTTCATTTCCTGTGCTTAAATATTTTCATTGATGGCACTGTTGATGCTCGTGAAAGGGTCTTGGCAATATCGGACATAGTTTTTAACTGATTGATTACAGCAGATCATAAATAGAAATTGGTTGGTTGGTTTGCTAAGTTTAAAAAAATACATATTTCACATAAGTCCCTTTTAATGCAAAAACTCGGGTCATTTTTTTAAATATGCTTAACTGCCAGGGCTCTGATTAAAATATATGTTAAGTACTTTTTTTTTTGGTAATCAGTTTGATTAAAGCCAGCTACTCCCTTCGGGTAAGCGCTATTGAACCATGTGCACCAAAACCAGCGGACGTTCAAACAACGTTTTCCCTCTCGCCATTAACTTTGTTCGAGAAATCAGGTTGTTAGAATATTCATCCATATTTAAACAGCTAAGATGTTCTTCACCATTGCAAGGGAATTTTAACGATTTTGTCAAATATTATTATTTGTATGATCACAGACCATATTGATTTCAAAGAATATCCAGTCTTGTCAGTATACCTAAAGTAAAATCTAAAATAAAGGTACTTTACTAGTCATATGCAAAATGTATATCACAAATTGTTCTGTGGATTTAACCCATCCCTGAGGAGGTGTGGGTGGTCACCGTTTAGTACGGTACCCGTGAACCTTGGTCAAGGAAACTGAATGGAAATGGAACATGGCTTTCACTCAGTTGTCTTTTGTCTTGGTGACAGCTGGGTGGCATTTGAGAATCCAGCATTCAGCGGTGAGCTCTACATCCTGGAGAGAGGCCTATATTCGTGTCCAGAAGATTGGGGTGCCCGGAATTTCAAGATATCATCAATCCAGCCAGTCTTCAATGTAAAAAATTAAAATAAAATGAAACTTGCATTCCCACTATGACACAACAAGTTACTTTAGTTGTTCTGAACGCTCATTCAGATTTCCTCACTTCTTATTTTCCAGGAAACGTTGCTGCAATCTCAGTTCAAGGTATGTCCTGTAACCATTTCTCCTCTTGTTTCAAATATGGGGGGGAAAGGTATTTTACTGGACAAATTGCTAGAGTGAGTCTGTGGGAATTTGCAGCCATTCTTCCAGAAGAACGGTTGTGATGTCAGAGGTTGCGGATGTTGGTCAAGAGAGCATGGCTCACAATCGCCGCATTTCTTTGTGTATCGGGCCACAGTCGTGCTGGAACAGAGCAGATACCACGCGAAAAGCAAATTATCCAAAATGCCACGCTGAGATGAAGAAATGCAATTCATCTCAAGACCCGACGGATAAATTGACCAATTGTCCCTTGGGGGTCTTTTTAAAGTGTGATTTGCCTCAATAGCTACTCCAAATAAAGACACTTTTTACATCGAGTTATTTGCTGGACCTGTCATGTGGTCCAATGGCATTTTCTCACCAGGGTCAAAGCAACCAACCATTCTCACCTATCGGCAATTGAGAATGTTCAATTGCCTTTGTATGCACATTTTTGCAATGTTGGAAGATGCTGCAATTCCCAGAATTTCAAACCCAAAAGCCTTGACTTTGAGTCAGATGCACCAAACACACCATACTGTGCCATCTCCATTACATCCAATACTTCTCAACAGTTTTGTATTTAAAAGGTGGGTTAATGTTACAACGATTGTGTATGTCTCCGAAGCCCGTCAGCGTGCGCTGTGTTGCTATCCAGGTGAAGCTGTTCTCTGAGCCCAACTTTAAGGGTGAACTGGTGGTTCTGGAGGACAGTGCCGAAGCTATGGATGAGGACTTTGTGCCCATGTCCTGTAAGGTGCTAACTGGCAGGTATAAGAGCCACAACGGAACAGACAATTCAGTACCACAGCAAAATTATGTTTATACATTTGCAAGGATATGGAGGTGCTTTAATTAACACTGAAATATGTAAAAATGTGACAGCTGCATTTGAGGCAAACCTAGTGTAAAATATCAACCTATTGGAAATGCATATATCCCGATCACATGGTACAGTATGCCATCGTAATGTATGTGTGTGTGTCTTTTTTCATGCTCAGCTGGATCGCATATGAAGGCTGCAACTTCACTGACAACATGTACTTATTGGAGGAGGGAGAATATCCCGACGCTGAGTTCTTGGGCTTCCTGTCCTCAGACGTGAGGATCCGTTCCATGCAAACTGTTGGCCACGTAAGGGCTTTGTTTGTTTGTATGCGTTCGATCACGTGCCTGCACCTGTGGCGAGTATACTCTCTGTCTGTGCAGTGAATAAGTGTCATATTTCATGTGAGTAACAAAGCTCTCTACTTTCTTATGTAGGAGTTGTCTCTACCCTCCCTCTTGCTGTTCAGCAAGCTGGGTTGCACAGGTCGCAGAGTGGTGCTGACTCATGGGACTGTGAACCTGCACCAAGCAGGCCTACCCGCTCACATACGCTCTCTGGTGGTGGAGGGAGGAAAGTATGTACCTACCTGCGACTCAGGTTGTTCATGTTTTGAATTGCTGGGTTTTGTGTGCAGCTTCCCGTCCACAGTTTTCAATACAAAACATTGTTTGTTGGTGGCCAGTGGCTACACTGGCTAGGTATTCTTCCAATATTTGTTGTGATGATCCAACATGCGACCTTTTCAATGAAATGTGATGAGAAGCCGTGATGTTGAATCAGACTAAATCCAAAATTGGTTCAGACTAAGCTTTTGTGCACAATTAAAGGTTTACGAAAATTATAATGGTTGTGTCAGCGAAAAACTATTAGCATTTGACATAATTGAACCATACTGCTGATGCAAAACTAATGTAATTATTCCTCGAATCTTTTTGCAGGGTTGCCTCAGATCCTTAACAGGCACTGAATGCATGAATCTAAAAATAAGGCCTTCATTGTCATCAAAATGGATTTAGATGGAGCTTTCAATCGTCTTAAAAATGTTAGCACAATAAATTGAATTGTAGGATTGCAAATAGTCTCAAATCTCAATATAAACCAACATTCCTTAAAAATAAATCCATACTAAATGACTGGTGGTAATATTGAGCAATCACAATAGTGGAACCAACCAATCAAACAACCAGTGTGTGTGTTTCAGTTGGGACTCTTAAGAATAGATGCACATCATTTTTAGTACAGTACGTACTCCAGCAACTTTGGACAATATCGGGCATTGGGAACATTGTGAAGTTACCGGTAATCTTAAATTTAATTTCAACTGAATGAAAACATTTTAAGAAGTCTTCCATTTTAATTGCCGTAAGCTGTAGGAACCCTGTTTTGAGTGTGTACTTACATGTGCCTTACATTCTGTCCTTTTGATTATAGGATCAATTTAAAGCAATGTCAAAGTGAATAAACTGTGAGAGCACTCAAGGCAATGTACTTCTAATCGTACCAGTCCTGCAAAAGTTGTCACAGATCTCTAAGAAATTCCTTTACATGGTGTTAGCTGAGGTTTAACAGCATAGCATCCTATGAGGAGCAGTAATTGTGCCAAAGATGTGAGGAGTTCCAAATGGGGTGCTCGACTAAAAAAGGCTTTTTCACTTAACGTTCATTTTTCTCACATTGTCTCGTATTCCAACCGCTCCCGTCTAGGTGGGTGTTGTACGAAGGCAGCAACTACCGCGGTCAACAGATCCTGCTCCAGCCGGGTCAAATCGCCGACTGGTGCAAGTTCAGTGGGTGGAAGGGAATCGGATCGCTGCGGCCGTTGCTGCAGGTATTGAGCGGTCTTCTCTCCAAAAAAATGATGCCAAGTTGTGTCATCTGTCTTGCTCATTCTCATGCTGTGGGTGGCTTTCAGTTAACTCAGCTTTGTTGCGTTTTACCAACAGAAACAGATTGGTATCCGTTTGCGGAACAAGGAGACTGGATGTCTGATATCATTGACCGGCGCGCTTGAAGACATCCAGCTGATGAGGGTGCACGCTGTGGAAGACACAGGGGGCGTCGAGCAACTCTGGCTATATCGAGACGGTCAGCTTGCCTGCAAGGTAAGCATGCTTAAAGTGCTCCCGACCTTCTTATCCAAATACACTACTCAGTATGTCTAAATGAAGTGCATACATATTTTCCAATGCCATATTTAAGTGCTTGTTGAATATCTCAGTTGGATATTTGCCCAAGCAAAAAAAAAGAAATGCTTTATATTTGACCATCTAGCATAACGATAAGAGACCATTCCGCATCAGAAAGTGCTCTAATGCGAACTGTTTCAATTTCATTGAGACACAACTTTTTCACCATTGTGATTGGGAATTCGATTTTTTTTTTTAATGAATTCACCTTTTTCTACACACAAAACTAACTTGTAACTGCGTCCTGTTTGCTTCCAGCTTGCCGAGGACTGTCGCCTGGAGACTGCAGGTAACATGGTGATGGCAGGCAGTCGGCTTTGTGTGTCTCCGGAGGCAGGAAAAGACAACCAACTGTGGGACATAACCTCAGATGGCCTGGTGCGCTGCCACTTCCAGCCTGGCCTGGTCCTTGAAGTCAAAGGTCAGATTCCCCTGTCTGGGTTGTATCGTGTTTGTCAACTACAGTAAACACTATAGTCAAGGAATTTAAAAAAAAAAAAAACATCCCACTATTTGAATTACAAATAATACGATCCAGACTGTAATTTCTCAAATGTGTGTACAGGCAGTCAATGTTTTCAGTGACATTTTAATCTTTTTAACGGACGTGTGTGAAAAGAACAAAAAAGTTTCCATTTGATCATATTGTTGAATTCATTCGCCTTCATTTATGGGCTTGATACATGCAGATGCACACTTCATGACCTTCCATGCCATAATTTAACATACCACTTTGAATGTATCGCAGGAGGTCACCAGTACGACCAGAACCAGGTGATCCTCAACACGTTTGAGGAGGGAAAACCAAACCAAAGATGGACACTGGAGATTTTGTGACTTGCCGGGCCACGATGTGGCCCTCAGATGCAGCTCTGCTAGTGGAGCACCCACCACTCAGACAAGTCCTGAGTGAGACTTTGCACAAACACTGCACTCCTGTAGCATCGGGACCCTTTTGGAGGAGGGAAACCATGTTCGGATTATACAGTACTCATTAATTTAACACTTTTATTTTGTTCATGTTGTTTTTGTACTTTATAACGAAGAGAAGTATGTTCTTATTTATCTGGCCACACTCTTTTTATATGGCGCATTGCTTGTTTTGAAATGTCAGCCCGGGTTTAATGCGGCGATTCTCTGGGCTTTATGGTACGCGACAACTCTACTCCACGGTGTCTTGTTCCTCATCTCATGTTGGTGGACGCAATGAAGTCTAAACTCCAAAGATATGTTTTAGTCACACATTTTGTCACCACTGCTGGTAATGTTGTAAAGTTTTGCAATGTTTTACGAATAAGTTTTAACACTGAATCTGATGCATATTATTCATTTGTGGATTAGATTTTAAATCACATAATTTTTTAACCAACGGTTGAAAATATGTAAATATAAAAGAGAAAATACCTGTTATGTTGTCGTGTATGATTTAAGACAAGCAATATTTTGGGTTGTTTTAACTATAGGAAACAGTTTATTGCCGTGTTTTGCCCAATTTTGAGGCCAAATGTAGCCCCGCAACCAAGTTTGCCGGTTTTAGGATGCCAGAGTAACCTTCCTAATTAGAAAAAAAAACTAACGACAGGAGGTAATTTCGAAGTTTTGGGGGAAATTGCATCACCAAAGTTAGGTCACAAGTAGGCATGTTAATAAAAAAAATATATATATATTTTTTTTAAGAACATCTGCCTCACAGTTCTGAGGTTCAGGGTTCAAATTCTCAGGTTCAACCATTTTCTATGGCATTTGTGTTCTCCCCATGCTTCTGTGGGTATTCTTCCTCCCAAATTTCCAAAATGCCTTAGGTGTGACTGGCCGAGGACTTTTTAACCAGTGTCCAGTTTACCCCTGACCTGGGTGATGTTGGTTTCAATTCAGGCTCAATCCCTGTGAAGAGGCTACACTACTACCTACAGTATTGATTACTGATCTGTCAAAGATTTTTTTTTTGGGGGGGGGGATAAATACACTAACTTCAGTAAAAATGAACAATCAAGATTTAAAATGAACACTTACTTTGTGACGAGGGGAAAAAAAATTCCAGCATTTATCAGGTAGAAGGTTTAAGGTCTTTCCACTCAATTGCAGCAAACGCATTCAAGCTTCATGCATCCGACACGAGGATTTAATTTATCTCTTTATTTATTCATTTGGTGCTACGCTCCATCTGTTCCCTTGTTGATCTGGACCACAGTTTTTCCTCGAGCATGACCCCTCTCCACCTTTGCAAAGGCCTGAGGAACCTGTGCAAAGCTGAAGGTTTCTTCGACAACCGCATGGATCTGCAAACGAAGCCAGCACAGGCAAAGTGAGTTGTGCAATCCGTAGACTAATCTGATGCCTTTTTTTTTCAATTATTTGAACAGTCCTGCTTGCTTATGTAAACATAAGCAAAATGTATTTCAAGTGTTACTGGAAATGATAATCACGCCAAATTATTGTAACTAGAAATTAATTACAGTTAGTCAAACATTTTCAATTGATGAATGGGAATCTGGGCTGCACGGCGTCTGCGTGGTTAAGTACGTCTACCCTAACTTGGTTTGAATCTCGACTCACACTTACTTGCATGCTTCATCAGAACAAAGTCACACAACAAAAGTGAAGTACAGTATGTTAGCACACCTGTCCTGAATCTACCATTTCCCTTATTTCATCCAGTGCTGAACCGCTCGGTGCAAAGAATCCCCAACGGTAGTGGACCCCCTTAACAAGGTGCTGCAAAAGAACAGAATAAATACATTAAAAGCGATTTTTAATTTGTGACAAAACATTTTCCTTCAGCAGGTAACAGTCAAAAAAAACGAAAGCTGATTGGTGTATGCTAGATGATGGTAAAATGACAACTGCCTCCCTGCTGTACTCCAAAAGGGATTTCCAAGCATTGATGAGTGTGCCAGGAGGCGTTCAGTGAGAAATGATTTAATTTCACTTCACTGGGTGACCTTTGCCGCACAAAGCGAAAATCTGACAGTACTTGACGCCACACCTAAAAAAGGTTTACAATTGCCTGTGGATGCCACAAGATGGTGGCAAGGCACTACTTGTGTCAACATGAAACTTCTCCACTGACTTCAACCTAGTGCATTGGTACTAAGATGCCAAATGATGGCGCCAAAGTACTACTTTTCCTGCTTTGGACACGCGTTTTGAATTGAATTCATCATACCTGTACTTCAATAATTCCTGAACAATATAAAAGGCACAGAGTAGAAACACAGAAACATCAATCAAAAATTGTGGCTGGGGGATACTGTGCAGAGCTAAGAGCAAATGTTCAATCAAAGAATTCCTGGCTGTCGCCAGTGCAATAATGAGTATCTCGCTGCTGACATACTAAGAGTTCCTGTGTTGCTGTCCACTACTACCCTTCACCTGAGCTTTGAGTTGGATACACTGTAGCAGCTTTCTGTTGTTATCCATGTAAATGGCATTACACAAGACGGGCCTCCAGACAAGATTGTCAACTTTTGATAGCAGGATGCTGTCACCTACTCGCAACAAAAGAAATGAATTGAGGTGTATGTCACGTAAAATGTGCCCTTCAGGTCGGTACGCGGGAAAATAAGGGCACTCGGATAATGCTGCCGCTCATACACGGAATAAGAAGCTGAGCAATATGGAGAGGACGTTTGACTGATCAAGGAGAAAATTTAAAAATAATGTGATGGTGACAGCAAGTGAACTGACAGATGAAGGTAGGAGCAGTATGAAACAGACACTGTTGATACACACGAACTAAAAAAACATGCTAATGTGTGTGCTTTTGGAACGAAGCAATATCCAACTACACCTGTTCTCTGAACCGCTGCTTGAATCATCATTCTTTTCATAACTGATCAACGATGGATTCAACTACTTCACACTAAATAGCAAGTACTGTATATTCAATTCAATGCATAATTTCAAACTGACGGTTCATTAAAATGGCACCGTTAAAAAAAAAAAAGCAGTACAATACCTTAACAACTGCAAATTGACATTTTTATTTTGTTTTGTAAATGTTGATAGTGTAATATGCATAATGTCACGGTGCCGTAATACCACCCTGCCACTGGAAGGAAACCAATGGGAATAGACGGTGGCCGAATGTTGTGAGGTTTGCTGCCGCCATCTTGAAGTAGCGATACCGCGTTTCTACCTCGGGCACTCAAAGCATTTCACACTGTGACCTCATTCACCTACAGCGTTCGTGCGTGTGTTAAGTGCATCAACATGGGCAATGTGCCAATGTGTCCATGCAGGACCGTAGTAAGGTTAAGCGGTTTAAGAATGTAGTCGACAGGTGTGTTGTTGGCGGGAGTTAACCACTCACCATGACGATGGTTGTCTATTCATGACATGGCGATGTGGTGTCTGGACTCCCAGCGATATGAATTGTGCCGGATCTTGTTTACAGAGGATTCATTTTTATTAATCCACAAAATGATGGTAGCAGCCATCGAAGACCTGCATTGCTAGCGAAATAGGACGCAGCCCGCGCCTCACTTCAATTGAGTGGAGCAGTGAGGTGCGGGCTGTTCGTACATTTTTATAACAAGCTCTGGTATTATATCCACCAGTAATTTTGAAATTATATATAGATGGCCACATGCTGTTCTAAAAACAAAAACAAAAAACAATATAGCTCAACGTGTACGGTTCGTATTTTATTTTTATAACAAGCCCTGGTATTATATCCACCAGTAATTTTGAAATTACATACAGATGGCCACATGCTGTTCTAAAAAAAACAAAAAAACAATATAGCTCAACGTGTACGGTTCGTATTTCCTTGACAGCGCACATGGAAGTGGATTTCTTTGGTGTGTGCTGTCTTGGTAGCAGCGGATGTGTGTGTCACTCTCGCCCTCCACAAGATGATTGTTTTCTGCTGGTTTGAACAATGAAATCTACACCCATCTTGGAAGAAGGAATATGGTTGGCTGAACTGAGCTTAACAAGCAACACAAGCATGGTGAGGTCACGTGACTGATATCGTCTTTATTTCGATATTAAGATTTTGAATGTTCATCTGTCAGTTTTAATAAGATACAGATAGACCATCCAGCCCTTGCAACTATGAACACAAAGCCACTTGATATCATAAAGTGCGAACGTCATGGGCACAGATGCTGCTGTGGTAAAACTTTTGTCAAGTTGTCTGATTTCATTTGTATTATTTTCCTCTTGTGTTATGCTTCTCTACGTAATGTACTATCTGTTGTTAAAAAAATAAATAAATAAAAAAATTGTCAAGTTCGTTTATGTTTAAAGGGATCATCCGCATTATGGAGAAGTGACTTTTTAAAACCATAATTGGTTGTGTAGTAGCAACTGTGTGTCTGGAGTGTCTGACCGTCCACATTGGCGCATTTCCATCTTCCCACCCGAATTTTTTCCATCCGTGACATGACAAGCATGGCAGGGCCAAGATCCACAGCCACTTCGGATCCGAAGCAATAGGTTGTAAATGTAGGTTAGTGCTTCTGACTATTTAATGTGATATTCACATACGAGGAACGACCTTATTACTCATTCAAATAAGGCACAGCAAGGCAGTTTTAATCATATAGCACATTTCATAAACAAGGCAACTCAATGTGCTTCATACAAAGACAACACCTACAAGCATTTACAAACACAGTTAAATCATACAAAGTAATTAAAATGTAAACATTGTTTTTAAGGAGATTTTTTTTCCTACCTTGAGGGCCTTGCTGGCCACAGTGGCAGTAGTCTGCAGCATTCCATCAGCAATCCCGAGGGTGTCAGTGTTTTGGAAGAATGGCGTAACTAGGGTGACGTACTTGGCGCCACTCCAAGGCTTGAGCAGATTCAGCGCCCAGCGTTCTGTGCTGCCTCCGATGTTATCCAGGATCAGGTCAAACCTTCATGAGGAGGAGGAGCAGGAAGGGAGGAAAGAGAGCCATCAGTCAATTCACCAACACATCCAAGTTCCAAATCCAAAGTTCATGCCATACGAGGTCAGCAACAAAGCAAAGTGCATCAATCCGTCATCACCCAACACAAAAAAAGCTCAGTAACTGCAACGCAAACTGTTTTTGGTTTTAGTGTTTTCCACGTATGGTTGAGATGTGATTTTATTAGATAATTACTTTAGTTCTGAGTAGGTTAATGACAGACTACGCTGCCTACAGTTTATGTCCTCATCGTAGGAACGCAAGTGGTAAAATGGGCTGTCATTTATAACATGCTTTTCTACCTTTGGTACGCAAAGCGCTTTACACTGATTCCTCATTTTACACCTGCATGAAGGCGAAGGCTGAATACTGGAGAGTGCACTGTTTACAGCTGTTGAACTGTCAACCAAGTTACCATTTTGCAGTAGCCAAAGTAATAACACAACCACCAGTCACCGGATTGACTCGTGATAATTTTTTTTCCCCATCTGTCGGAGGATCCCTTCTGCCAACTTAAAGCAACCTGATGGAGGAAAATTTAGACAGAGTTGTTTTCAAGATAATTTATTATGTTTAATTCTGCATTTATATTTCTGTGCGAAACATGGTCAACTCTACATGGCTCCAAGGAGCCTACGGTTTACAGTTGACGATCAGATAAGAGGAAACCAACGAAGGCGACCCTTCTGCATTTCTCAAGATATGCTGAATTGACGTATCAAAAGTGCTTTGACATATTAAAAGTGTTGATTAGGCTCATGCATTTCCTGCTGATGTGATGAAATATTAAACATCATGTACTTTGGAGGTGTTGATTAGGCTAATGCATTTGCTGAGGATGTGATGAAATATTAAACATCATGTACTTTGGAGTGAATGTCAGGATGAGGCCAGTTTGCTGACACCCCAAACTTCCCCTTAGTGGCCTCACCTTCTTGTAACCTAGGGACCTCAAGAGCAGATAAAAAGAGAGGTTTAGGGAGGCGCTGCTTTAGGACAGCCGAGAGAAATGTGCGCAGCCTTCTTCCCCTTCCTCGCAAACAAAAATGACAAAGAGACGTCTCCTCTCTTCCTTTCTATAAATGCATATTTGTCAATTTATATGATAAACCTGACACAACCCTTATGTCGTTGCACAGTGAACAAAAGCAAGCGAAACACGTGGCACTATCCGATATTTCATGTTCGGTCCGAACCTAGCATAACAGTGCTAAATCTATCTATTATTTGCTTGTCAAGAAGCAAAAGGTATTTTTACTTTTTTTTTTTAACTCAAGATTTTTGTGAAAACAAAAAAACCCCGAGATTTTGTTTCAAGGCCACATTTCCCAGTTCAGTCAAGCCCTCCTGTACAACACGGAATGAAAGTTTCGTGCTTGTCCTCACTTGTCCAGGGCAGCGAGCGGCACTTCAACAGGCCCAGCCGTGTAGTCCACCACATGGTCCACGCCGAGCCCCATGACAAAATGCTCGGCATTCTGGGAGCATGTTACGGTCACATGGGCTCCCCATGCTTTCAGCATCTTAAACAATAATAACTCTCAACATTATTTGATATTAGATTAAGCTATGGGTGAGACTTCATAGCAATCTTCCACTCAACCTGAATGGCAAATGTTCCCACTCCTCCAGACCCGCCAATGATCAAAACACTGTGACAAAGAAAACGGGGAATATGAGACTGTGTGTGTGTGTGTGTGTGTGTGTGTGTGTGTGCGTGTGTGTGTATTGGATGCGTATTCCCTCACCGTTTCTTGGCACAGTTGTCTTTTGTGAGCCCGCCGGTGTTGACAAGCGCCGACCAGGCCGTGGTCGCCACATAAGGGATGGCTGCAGCCTCCGTGTGGCTCAACGATTTTGGTTTGAGGGACACCTGAGTGTGGCAGTGCAAACAAGGAAAAACGCACACGTTGAGCCTTCACAAGTAAATTCCTCCGTTGCATGATTGTGACGTGATTCTGACCTCATTGGCACTCAGCACAACAAACTCAGCCAAGCTTCCCCGCTTCCACGGTGGGATGGCAGCCCACACCTGTTGAGAGCACACAGTCTCTAACTTTATCTTTGACTTAATGGAAAAGTGCAATGCCTTTTTAAGGCATCTGTTCAATGATCCCATTGTGATTTTTTTTTTTTTTTTTGGGCCGGGGGGCTCTATTTTCAAGAAAAAAAATATGATGCTCATAAAAATGTAAAAATGAATGCTTTTCATTGGAATATTTGCTTACCAGTGTCCTTGAATCAATCAGTTTTTTTCCTTGAGTATTTAAAATGAAAAACCTAAACCAATGTAAATTAAACAGAAATAAGAAATCAGGAATCTAAACATGTTTTAGGTTTTTAATTCAGATACAATTTGTAGTTCAAAGAATTAATTTTTAAGAATTGTGAGTCAGTTTATGTATGGTTCTCTCTTTCATCTTATTTAATAGATCAATTTGAGTATAAATGTTTTGCAAACAGTGTTACATATGTGTAATGCTTGAGGCTAATAAAAATGTGTCACAATATTTTTACCTCATCCCTTTCTTGGAAGTACTTCACATCCAGGCCACACTCCATGATAACCCCAGACACGTCCCTCCCCAGGGTGAGCGGGAACTCACTGCCCCGTTGATTAATGTTCAGTGGGTCTCTCTTCATGGACATGGTTGCTGCGCCATAGCCACCTGGCATATTGCAAGACATCATTGTTGGACACGGTATTGGAGTTTATTATTCATTCAGCATCTCAGGCCAGTCGTTCAAAAAAATCAGGGTCGGAATAATCTGGATTTGGAAATCACATTTTTGCTATTCAGGATCAAGTAATCTGTTTTGCTTTTATGCCGGTTTTACCAAAGCAACATTGGATTGGATCACCCTAATACACCGTTTTCACGACGATTACCAAATCCGGATCAGCAGTGCTCTTACCAGGACAATATATCACAATGTGAGCTACCAGCAATGTCAAGAACAACAGGTAGAAGAGCCAACATGGGGTCACTTGTCTTATCTTTAAGTAGACCTTGAAATGTCATTTAAGTGCAGTAAAAATGATGTTTAACAGTCAGCCATATCGTTTTGATAATAGGCTCAGTGGAAAAACACAAAAAGATATCTGAGTTTTCCCTTTGAACAGATAAAAAAAATAGGGAATGATAACAACAGAAAGAAAAAAAAATATCACACCTTACACCTGTCTGTATTTTTGTGAACATTAGAATCTGGTGGTTTTTGGCACACGACATCGCATTCCAAGAATCGGTCTGAGGGCCAAAAACTCCCAACAATTTTCTAGAAAGTTTTGTGGATGGGGAACAGCTTCCATCGCTGAATCTGGTACCAATTTTGTTAGTGCTCCCTGCTTTGCATTTGATTTATTAGCCTGCAACCTCTCAATCAATCAAGATCTCTAATTACATCTTTTTGATGTCATGTCGGTCTGCTTAGGTTGGAAATAGTAACATGTCTATCTTGACAAAATATGGAAGAGAAAGCACATTTATCTGTTTGCAAATGTAGGGTGAGTAAGTAAAACGTCGTCAAAAGAACAATCGTGAAGGACAGTACAAATACCTGAAAAATCTACTTTTGCAGAGTACCGGTAACTAAGTATTTCTAGTACTTCGTTACTTCTCACACCACTGTCTTGCATTCAGCTACGGTTTGAATATTCAAGACTAGAAATGTCACTTGCCTCTCATGCTGACGTCAATGGGGTTAAGGCCTGCTGCAAACACTTTGAGTCATTTAAGTGCAGTAAAAATGATGTTTAACAGTCAGCCATATCGTTTTGATAATAGGCTCAGTGGAAAAACACAAAAAGATATCTGAGTTTTCCCTTTGAACAGATAAAAAAAAAAAATAGGGAATGATAACAACAGAAAGAAAAAAAAATATCACACCTTACACCTGTCTGTATTTTTGTGAACATTAGAATCTGGTGGTTTTTGGTACACGACATCGCAGTCCAAGAATCGGTCAGAGGGCGAAAAACTCCCAACAATTTTCTAGAAAGTTTTGTGGATGGGGAACAGCTTCCATCGCTGAATCTGGTACCAATTTTGTTAGTGCTCCCTGCTTTGCATTTGATTTATTAGCCTGCAACCTCTCAATCAATCAAGATCTCTAATTACATCTTTTTGATGTCATGTCGGTCTGCTTAGGTTGGAAATAGTAACATGTCTATCTTGACAAAATATGGAAGAGAAAGCACATTTATCTGTTTGCAAATGTAGGGTGAGTAAGTAAAACGTCGTCAAAAGAACAATCGTGAAGGACAGTACAAATACCTGAAAAATCTACTTTTGCAGAGTACCGGTAACTTTAAGTATTTCTAGTACTTCGTTACTTCTCACACCACTGTCTTGCATTCAGCTACGGTTTGAATATTCAAGACTAGAAATGTCACTTGCCTCTCATGCTGACGTCAATGGGGTTAAGGCCTGCAGCAAACACTTTGACAATAACCTCATTGGGGTAGGTGATGACGGGGAAGCTGGCGTTTTTGGTAAACCGCAGAACATCATTGCCTCCATATTTATCAATGACCCATGCGGGCATGACACTTTTACAGCTGCTGGAGGTCTTGAAAAATCTGGAAACTAATGTCCTTGAAATGTTACGGTGAAATAACCGCCTACTGTTCACCACAGGTCTAGTAGCTGCCATCTCTGGATAGTTAGATGATTATTACAAAATAGGACAACCTTTGCAGCCCTGTGGAAGGAAAGCGAGGGTTATACTTGCAAAGCCATCATTGCGCTGACAGTTTCTTAACGCACTTCTCCCTTGTTCCTGTACACATATTTGTTCTTAATTGTCATATTGAAGAAATGTAAATATATTGTCCTTTCAAAACAACGTGCGTCTCCCAAAATAAATAAATTAAAAAACACTTCCTGAAATGAGTATGTGCTTCAACCAATCAGAGGCAAGCTTGTTCCTAGCGCAGACCAATGAAACAAGCCATTCTTACGACACCCGGACTTTCCAAACAAACATGGCAGCCCTCCGATGCCGTATACCGTTGTGAAGGTTGACTGCGAAAAAATCCTGAGCGTATCGGAAATATGCTCAACCTGACTTTACGAGAGGTTAGGATGGTTTCATGTTTAAAATTTGCGGTTTTGTGTGTTAAATGTAACATTCGAGAACATTCTGTCTATTAATTAGGGTTGTGTGCGTGTGTGTGTCGAATATCGAATTTGATTTCTTTCGTCAAATGATTTTTGACCAAATAACCAGCCAAAGCAGTACAGTAATACCTCCTATTAAAGAAACCAACGTTTGAAAAGGAGTGTTGATCATGTTCAGTGTGGAACATTTATAATATAATTTTACCACAGAAATGTATCTAATACAGGATACAGAGTTTGAATGTACTTTTTAATTTTCCAGGTTTCCATTGCATTCAGAGAGCGAAAGATCTCCCCAACTGAGCTGTGTAGAAAATGCTTGAACCGCATCAAGAAGAACCAGCATCTAAATGCTTACATCACGGTGACGGAGGAATTGGCCTTGAAGCAGGCTCATGAAGCTGAGACCAGACTACTACAAGGTGAAAGTACATCCATCCATTATCTAATCAGCTTATCCACACGAGGGTCGTGGGCGTGCCGGAACCAATCCCAGCTTTCTTCGAGCAGTAGGCAGGGTACACCCTGAACTCTGAACTAGTTGCCAGTCAGTCAACCATTTGCGCTCACAATCACACTTAGGGACAATTTCGAGTGTTCCATGAGCCTGTCACGCATGTTTTTGGAATCTGGGAGGAAACCGGAGTATCCAGAGAAACCCCACGCAGGCACTGGGAAAACATGCAAACTCCACAAAGGAAGGCCGGAGCCAGAATTGAACCCCGCACCTCTGCACTCTGAGGCGGGAGTGCGAACCAGTCAACACCATGCCGCCATGAAAGAACATGCTGCTGTTAAAGTGTAACATCTCTAGTCTATGTAGTCACAATTTTCATGATCTTCTATAGGTACCTCTAAGGGTCCTCTGGACGGAATCCCATTTGCAGTCAAAGACAACTTTAGCACGAGGGACGTCAAGACCACATGTGCTTCGAGAATGCTGAAAGGTATGCAGAGACATGCACAGTGTGTGTTCATTTGATATAATTAACAAACCGTGGTGCTTCGATGCTCTATGTTGCAGACTACACTCCCCCATACAATGCCACAGTAGTCCAGAAGCTGTTTGACCAAGGTGCTCTTCTCCTTGGGAAGACCAACATGGACGAATTTGCTATGGGGTAAAAACATTGTTGGCAGTAGCAAACATGTCACGCACCTAACATATATTTCCATTTTCTCAGCGATTCCCTCTTTGATATACAAAAAAAAAAAAAGATAAGGACATTGAAACATTTTTTTTCACCTTGCATTGACTTCCACAAAAATATTTAAATTCAAATACAGTACCGGTATTTATTTCTCAGAGATGAAAGTCCTCCGGATTTTCCCGGAATTCCGGGTTTTTCAAATTTTTATGAAAATTTCTCCGGAGAATTGAGGAAAATTTGCATAATCCGGATATTTGTTGACAACATTGAACGAAGACGCGTTTGAGTTCGTTGTATTTCTTTCACGAGCGTAGCCATATTGAGGCACTAACACTAGTAACAGTAAAGAGATTTTTGTTTGTGTAATAACGACAGAAGGCATGATGGCGTTTGACTAATGGTTTAGTAGAACGAATGGCAACTCGCAACAACAGTAGCAAGCGTCATTTTGCCTCTTGGGTTATACCATCTCAACTAGAACGTGGGGGATTGTCCCCAAACAATTTTCGTCTCTTTATAAACACACCCGCTAAACCCCAGTGGAGCGAATAAAAGACGCCGTCAACAAGACAGTTGTCGTAAAATATATATTTGGCCAAAAAGGGAAAAACACAGATTGGCAGAAAATCGTGCCCGCCCGACATAGTGTCGTCTCGGCTAACTTAGCTTATGCATTCAAGTGCGCTCAGTTCGTTCGAGAACCGAAATTTGTTCGTCATCCGAGGCATAAAAAACTCAACAGTTTTGGTCAAAAACCGAATTGGTCGAGAAACGAGACATTCGAAAACCGAGGTTTGACTGTATGTTAGATATAATCATACAAATAAACTCTTCTTCTTGTTGGGGGAAGAGTGGCCTTTCTCTTCCGCCGCGTGTTCGTTAATTTCGGACGATGAGGATGTTGGTTATCCAAATACAGGCTGGAGTCAATGAACAGTTCCTTCGACGGGTTTAATTTATTTTTCTGCAGTTTACGAATCGATTCGGGCTCCTGAGGGGTCCAGATTTCAACCAGGAAGCGTAAAAGAAACACATTCATGAGATTATATAGAGACAATATGATAATGAGAGGCGGGGAGGTACGCCTCTCATGCAAATCCCGGAAACAAAGAAAGTAACATGACATCTGACCCGGTCAACATGTCATCTGACCCGGTGTGGCTGGAAGAAGTTGGGAGTGGTGAGGTGAGACCAGACCACCACTACCCACCATTTGGTGTGATGGCAGGAACACAGATACTTATAACAGTTCCTCTTTTGACGTTAAACATGTCCTATGGAGGGGGGGCCTAAAGGTGACTGTAAACACAGTGAGCAGGAAATACCTCCAACAACATTCTACATTCTTTGTTTCTTTCAAATCCAACTAACAGAGAGGAATAATACCTTAACACTCTCTATGATAAAAACCCTTTCTGCAGTTGATCAATAATAAATAAAACTCAGACACTGGTTAACAAAATATGCAGCAATCTCATTACCTCTGCGTCCCGCGTCCTAGACGCATAATTTTCCCGCCAGACGCACAGTTCCAAATAATGTGCATTTTTTGGGACGCAAGGAAATTTCTCAGTCACAAAAAAAACTACGGTAAATCTTTTTTTCCAGCAACGAACGCAGGTTGGCGATCGCCGCCATTGTTGTTTTGATCTTGCATGACGAGATTTCCGTTCTCGCGAGACGACATTGGCGAAAATCGGCCTTCACCTCGTGGAAAGCAGACGATTGCCAAGTCGTGTAATGTTAAAACAAGTGTTGCGAAAATTTATTGCGGAGATATGAACTCAAAGACTGAACCATGGGATGAAATAAGAACCTATTTCTCAGCAAATCTTGTATATCTGAACTATTTAAATTTTTGCAGCATTTGTTCATAAGAAATAAACCAATTAACAATGTATATTGTTGTTGTTTGTGTTATCATATGCAATTTAATAAGTTGACCATTTCATAATTCGAAATTTGGGACTAAATGCATGATGGGACTCGTACTTTTCTGATCAGCGAGTCCCTGGGACTCGCAGGACTCAAACTGTAAAATTATCACTGAATATGGTCTGAGTTTCAGCAGTTGATCAGCGTTTTGCTCCTTTGTCTTCCAGTTCGGGCAGTACTGATGGCGCATTTGGACCAGTGAGGAACCCGTGGAGCTATGCTACTCCCTACTGTGAGAGGACAGGAGCGGCACAAGACTCTGACTGGGTTATCTCAGGAGGAAGTTCAGGAGGAAGCGCAGCAGCTGTCGCCTCCCTGACCAGTTACCTGTGAGGCGTCACCTGGTTCAATCTCCAAAATGTTCCAAAGTGAAAGAGAATGACATTGTCATATTGTCGTCATGGCAGCGCTTTAGGGTCGGACACGGGTGGTTCCACCCGTAACCCAGGCGCGCTGTGTGGCGTTGTGGCTTTGAAGCCAACGTATGGACTGCTGTCGAGACATGGCCTCATACCGCTGGTCAACTCCTGTGATGTTCCAGGCATTTTGGCACGAAGTGCCAGCGACGCAGCCATTATTTTAGGTAGGTTATTATGAAGTCATATATCATTAGGTCATATGTTCTTTGACACGTAACAGACCTCATGAGTTGCTAGAAACAGGGATGTAATATTTTACAGCTTAATTCATGAGGACGAGAGTTTTGTTTTGATCTGAATATAGGGTGTCGCAAATGGGCTGTGTGAACAAGTCTATTATTTGTAATGGATAATGGCATGACTGATTCAGAATGTGTATCGTAATTTTATTACAAGTACAAGTATTCCGAATTCTTCTTTCACTCTACCAATGCTGAGAATCAATTGCTGCCAAATTCTTCCAACTGAATGTTATATTCTAAAATTTGTAAAATCATTGTTGTGCAGGAAGAGTTGTCTCACTGTTGGCGAGCTCAGGAATTTGTCTGCTGTGGCATGTCGATACACCCATTGACGATGAATTGATTAATATACGTTTTTTTTTTCTGATGATGCCGAGGTTAACATGTTGGTAAATGTTTTTGATTCCAAAATATATACCGTAAATTCCGGATTACAAGACGCTCCTTTTTTTCCACACTTTCAACACTGCGGAGTGTAATATGAAGCGGCTTTTTAATTTTTTTTTCCATCGCGGGAAAAACATGGACCAATAAAATGAATGAGTCTTTCACTGAGGTCCAATGAGATTGTATGACTAATCACTATTTCCGCTCTTTCTGCCGTAGCGGGGGAAAATGTGTTACCCGGCAACAGTCAACCAATAAAATGAATGAGTAGTACACAGGGGTCCAATGAAATTGTATGATTACCGGTAATCACAACTTCCTTATTTCAGTCTTTCTTCTAACCCTAACATAGAAAATACCAGACGAAAAGCATATGATGCAGCTTTTAAACTAAAAGCGATCACTGGCAGTTAAAGAAGGAAATCGAGCTGCTGCCTGTAAGGCGTAGAAAAAAAAGTACCGGTAGTGTGTTTCCGGTTACCCGACCGACCGAGAATTTCTACGTCGAAAAAAAACTTTACGGTCGGCATTTTTTTCAAACAGCCCTCTACATGTTTGTGTCGAGGGTTTACATCGCTGCAAACTCTCGCGATATTCACGTTGAGCGGCTTCGTCGTTTGCCCTGTCGTCTGTCAACAACATTGAAACGTGGCGGCGGCCGCGATCTCCGACGACAGTTTAAACCGCGTTTTCTGTGTTACAGTCGCGTGCTCACACCGTAATGTTAAGGAAATAGCATCCATTGATGTATCGAAAAAATCAAGCGAACTATTTGATGAACACCACGGGCCGAGTAAAAACCAAGGGTGGAGGAGGACAGCGGAGGCGGCGGCGCGCCCCGGCCCCCCGAGTCCGGAGCGGGGGGAAAACTAAATAGGGAGCGGC